TTCTCAAAATTGTCAGGTTTTTTTTTTTTTTTTTTATACCGCAAAAAATAAAAAATGCACAGGCGATCAAATACCACCGAAAGAAAGCTCAATTTGTGGGGAAAAAAGGATGTAAATTTAATTTGGGTACAGTGTTGCATGACCGTGCATTTGTCAGTTAAAGTAACCCTTCGACGTAACACAAACCGCTTCTGTAACCGCTTCCTGACCGCCCTATAGCAGAAATACTGCTACAGGGCGGCATGGGTGCGCAAAATCACATATATATATATATATATATATATATATATATATATATATATATATATATATATATATATATATATATATATATATATATATATATATATATACCTGATTTGCGCTCCCGTGGTTTTCACACCCCTCCCAGATAGCGTCAGATTGCTCATCAGTACACCAGTCATCACATTATGCTAACAACTCCCCCCCCCCCCCCCCCCCTTCTCCCCCAGCAAGTGCAGTGTCAGTAGTTCACTGTCACTTGATACATTGCACACACAACCACAGTGTTCGCAGAATCAGGCCTGATCTCTGTTAGCACTTGCTGGTAAATTCTGATGACTCTCATATGCAGCAGAGTGCCAGTACTAGTGCCGCTCTACCTTTTGGTGAACTGGCGAGTACCAGCGAACTAGTAAATCCTGGTCTTTCACATACCTCCTTGATTTTTGAGCTGTTTTTTCACGGAATATCTGTATGCGTTGATTATGGATCAATTTATATGAACAACAATTTATCACCGCCAACCCAAATTCAAATCTTGCCAGATCAGTCGCATGGAAACTCATTACGGTTTCCGAATTTACTTTTTTTTTTTTCGGGCCTAACCCTCAACATGGGCATTACTAAATAAAATTAATTGTGGTTGTATTGGTCTGCAGACCCGATTCATCATATGCCGTGTTCTCTGCTGCCATGGCCAGGCATAGATATGAGAGTGTGTATTGTCATTAAAATGCATAAAACACATTATACTGTCATCCTCGGGGTGACCCTGAATTTGATTGGCTCCACAAAATTCAGCCCCTCGCAAATCACCTTAACCAAAAATTTGCAGATGTCTATACTCCCCAGCAAAAAATCTGTGTTGATGAGTCCCTGATTAATTTTTCTGGCCGCCTTGCATTCAAACAATTTCTCCCCAGCAAGCGTGCCAGATATGGGGTCAAGATGTAGAAGACCTGTGAGAGGACAACAGGCTATACTTATAAGTTTTGGATTTATGAGGGAAAAGATAGTCACGTGGAGCCCCCTGGACGCCCAGACTACATGGGGAGTAGTGACAAGATAGTTTGGGACTTGGTGTCATCATTTCTCCATATGGGGTACCACTTATACGTGGACAATTTTTATTCAAGCGTGCCACTATTTAGACATTTGTACAATCTTGGAACTGGCGCATGTGGCAAAGTGTGACCTAATGTTTGCCCACCACTAGAAGTGGGTTGATGCAGGGTGCTATATTCTAATGGTGGGCATACCACACACTTTTTCTGGCAGAGATTTCTTTTTTTTTTTTTTTTGTATGCAGCCTGTGGACTGAATGGGAAAAAAAAAAGAACATAGCATATACACCCAACAAGGACCAGCGATTTACTGGTACATGACTGGACTTTGAATGGTTATACGCCTATATGCCTACAGCTGCAGGCATCATCCTGGTATCGTTGTTTTCAGCCGGCGATCGGCTTTCATGTAAAAGCAATCCCAGTGGCTAATTAGCTGCAGGATTGCTTTTACAACCAGCGGGATATGATGCCCCCCCCTCCCCCGCTGCCTTCCACAGCCTTCTCGGGCAGTCCCGTGCCATCGGGGGGAACCTGAGAATGCAGCCAGTGTTTTTGCCAGCTGACCATAGAGCTGATTGGAGACCAGAATGGTGCCAATCATCTCTATAGTCTAAGAATTCGGAAGCTACGGGCATTTCATAACTTCAGTTTTGCAGGATATTAACTGCGCCATTTGTAAATTGGGAAAGCATCTGATCACACCGCTTTTGGTTTGATTAGATAATGTAAGGGCAGAGGAGATATCCAGAGTCTGATAGACCCCAGATTTCTCAAAAAAGAATATATGACAATGCCCATTGAAGTTATAGGGGATATTTGCATTCCCTGTGATAGCATTACAAATGATCACAAAAAAAAAAATGAAAGGTACAGTGTAAAAATTAATTTAAAAAAATCAAAATAACTTAAAAAAAAACACTCGCCCCCCTCCCATGCACGCACACCTGTGTGCACAAGCATTGACCCTGTGCCGGTATGTAAACAGCGGTTGCACCATACATGTGAGGTATCGCTGTGAACGTCAGATCAAGGACAGTAATTCTAACACTAGACCTCCTCTGTAAATCTAAAATGGTAGCTTGTAAAGGCTTTTAAATTGTTGCCTATGGATATTAAAAATGTATGCAGTTTGTCGCCATTGCACAGGGCATGCGCAGTTTTAAAGCATGTCATGTTTGGTATCTATTTACTCGGCATACCATCATCTTTTATATCTTACCAAATAATTGGCCAATATATTGTGTTTTTGTGCAGTAAAAGTAAAAAAAAAGTGTAGTTTTTTTTTTTTTCTTGAAAAATCGCTGCGCAAGTACTATGTGGCATAAAAAATTGTAGTACCCACCATTTTATTTACTATTGTGTCTGCTTTAAAAAAAATATATAATGTTTGGGGGTTTAAATAAATTTTCTAGCAAAAAATACTGATTTTTTTTTTTTCACGTGAACAAAAAGTGTCAGAAAAGGCTTGATCTTCAGGTGGTTAGAAGAGTGAGTGATGTGTGGCATAAACTTCTAATGCTGGGCATAAAACTCCCCCATCCCCCAAAACAGCCCCTTTTTGGAAAGTAGACACCCCAAACTATTTGCTGAGAGGCATGTTGAATCAATAGAAGAATTTATTTTTTTTACACAAAATTGTCACTTAAATGGTTTACTGCTCACACATGCCATGGGTATATGTAGAATTACTCCCCAAGATACATTCTGCTACTTCTCCCGAGTATGGGGGTACCACATGTGAGAGACATTTTCGCAGTCTAGCCAAGCACAGGACCCCAAAATCCAATAAGCACCTTCAGGCTTTTAAAGGACTTTATTTCCCCATTACACTTGCAGAGTACCTATCGGTTTCGGAGGCCCTGAAACGCCAGGATAGCACCTAACCCCCCAAACGACCCCTTTTTGGAAAGTAGACACCCCAATGAATTTGATAAGAAGCATAGTAAGTATTTTGCAGATCTCATTTGTTGCCACGAGTTTTTGGAAAATGAAGAATAAAAACAAAAATATTTTTTTCTGTTTTTTTTTTTTTTTTTTGTATTTCAAAACCTTGTGTGAAAAAATGAGATCTGCAAAATACTCACCATGCCTCTTTTTAAATTTCTTGGGGTGTCTACTTTCCAGAAAGGGGTCATTTGGGGGGGTTTGGTGCTATCCTGGCATTTCAGGGCCTTCGAAACTGATAGGTATTGAGGAAGTGAAATGAGGAAGTTACCTTCAGGCTTTTAAAGTGGTCATTGGATTTCAGGCTCCTGTATGTGGCTAGGCTCCCAAAAAGTCTCATACCTGTGGTATCCCCATACTCGGTAGAAGTAGCAGAATGTATTTTGGGGTGTAGTTCCACATATACCTATGGCTTGTGCGAGAAATATATAATTTAAATGACAACTTTGTGTATAAAAAAAAAAAGCTTACATGGACTCAATATTCCTCTCAGCAGATAGCTTAGGGTGTCTACTTTCCAAAAAGGGGTCATTTGGGGGTGTTTGTACTATCCTGGTATTTTAGCACCTCAAGAAATGTGATGGGCAGTCAGAAAGTAAAAGCTGTGTAAATTCCATTATCTATACCATAGTTTGTAGACGCTATAACTTTCACACAAAGCAATCAATATACACTTACTGGGATTTTTGTAACCAAAAACATGTAGCAGAATACATTTTGGCCTAAATTTATGATGAAATTTTAGTTTTTTTGGATATTTTGTATGACCGAAATGAGAAAATATTTGTTTTTTTTTTTTTTTTTTTAAAGCATTTTTTTTTTCTTCAAAACTTTTTTTGTTTATAGCACCAAAAATAAAAAGTTCACAGGTGATCAAATACAATCAAAAGAAAGCTCTATTTGTGTGAAAAAAAGGACATAAATTTAATTTATGTACCGTATTGCATGACCTCGCAATTGTCCGTTAAACTAGCGCAGCGCTGTATAGCAAAAAAATGGTGTAAATTGCAGCATCTATACCATAGTTTGTAGACGCTATAACTTTCACACAAAGAAATCAATATACACTTACTGTGATTTTTTTTTTTTTTTTTTTTTTTTACCAAAAACATGTAGCAGAATACATTTTTGGCCTAACTTTGAGTTTACTATATATTTTTTATAGCTGAAAGTAAAAAAATATCGTTTTTCTTCAAAATTTTTGGTCTTTTTTTGTTTATAACGTGAAAAATAAAAAGCGCACAGGTGATCAAATACCACCGAAAGAAAGCTCTATTTGTGTGAACAAAAGGATGTAAATTTCGTTTGGGTGCAGCATTGCATGACCGCACAATTATCAGTTGAATTAGTGCAGCGCCAAGTAGCAAAAAGAGGCCTGGTCATTAAGGGGGGTAAATCCTCAGGAGTGCAAGTAGTTAATAAGTGATCACATTCCCTCTGTTCTCATCTGCATAAGGAGCTCAGGGAGGAGAAATGGCAGTACACTGATCTTCTCAGTGAATGGCTGTGCAGGAGGGAAGTGTGTCCGCACAAGCCTGATCATTTGATTAGCTCCCAGCACAGCCAGAAAACTGATAACGCTGTGCACCAATGAGCTAAGGTGAAAGGGGTTTTTTTTTTTTCTTTTTTCCTGCTGTAGACTTGAAGATGAATTACCGTATTTTTCGCTCCATAAGACGCACCTGACCATAAGACGCACCTAGGTTTTAGAGGCAGAAAACAGGAAAAAAAAATTCTGAACTAATGGACTGCAGACATAGTACAGGAGATGACCAGAGACTGCGGACACAGTACAGGAGATGACCAGAGACTGCGGACACAGTACAGGAGATGACCAGAGACTGCGGACACAGTACAGGAGATGACCCAGAGACTGCGGACACAGTACAGGAGATGACCAGAGACTGCGGACACAGTACAGGAGATGACCAGAGACTGCGGACACAGTACAGGAGATGACCAGAGACTGCGGACACAGTACAGGAGATGACCAGAGACTGCGGACATAGTACAGGAGATGACCAGAGACTGCGGACACAGTACAGGAGATGACCAGAGACTGCGGACACAGTACAGGGATGACCAGAGACTGCGGACACAGTACAGGAGATGACCAGAGACTGTGGATAGTACAGGGGATGACTGCTGACCTTTGGGGAGGGGGGGGAGCGGGTACCTGAATTTGACAGGTACCCGCTCCCACTTCCGCAGAGTTGTTCTTTCATCTTACCTGTTCCTCTATCCAGCCGCGCGCTGTCTTCCCGGCTTCTGTAATGGCTCTCGGCATGACAGCCGGGTGCCCAGTGCGCATGAGCAAGAAGCACTTGCGCTTTGTGATTGGTCCGGCGGCTTCTGGGATCTGTCATGTGTCCCAGGTGCCGCCTTACCATTCACAAAAAGCACCGCTTCCTGCGCATGCACACTTGGCACCCGGCTGTCATGCCCACACTACAGAAGCCGGGAAGACTGCGCCGCTGGATAGAGGAACGGGTAAGATGAAAGAACAACTCCACGGAAGTGGGAGCGGGTACCTGTCAAATTCAGGTACCCGCTCCCCCCCCCCCCTCCCCAAAGGTCAGCAGTCATCTCTATAAGGTCCCGCTGTAGAGCTGAGCGGCCGGCCCGGTATTCTGACACGGCGGCAGTGGAAATACCGGACCGGCCGCTCCATATTCGCTCCATAAGACGCACTGACATTTTCCCCCCTTTTTTGGGGGGAAAAAAGTGCGTCTTATGGTGCGAAAAATACGGTACTTCTGTGTCCGCAGATTTGTTTGAAAGCATATTTATTGCTTGTTAAGAGACTTTGTCACCACCTATGCCTGTTGAGATGTAGAGGATATATGAATTATTGTGAACTTAAAATGCAAAAACTGTGGCTACCCTTTACAGTGTTTCTGCCAAAAGTGCATAACATGCCTGATATTTTGCTGTTCCTCCGACACTTTACAGAAGTGGCAGGCTTGTTGTTCCATCCTGACCCTTCAGTCCCCTCTCTCTGGCCCTGACATTACCTATGCTTCTGGCAGCAGTCCAGAAAGCCTTGCATGATCTGCAAAGACAGCTTATGCAACCCAGGAAATGCTTCCTTAGCTGCTCCCACGAACACAGGTGACATCAAGGCTCGAGAGAAAGGGATGCAGTATCAGGCTGGAACAACAAGCCTCTGACATTTTCAGAAATTGTTGGGGAAAGAGCAGAATATCAGATTTTCTTGCTGCTCATATTTAGCTGAAATTAATTTTGATTATATCTTGCCCTCACTTTTTACCTCTTCATCAACGAGCGAATGAAGCATTTGAATAAAACCTTTTCTTTTCCATTACACCTTATTTTAGACCCTGTGAATTAATACTCTGTCTCAGTGCTTCTTTTTGAAGTGCAGGCAGATCGGTGCTGGTGTGAGCAGTCAGCATGTTGCTGTGCATAGCTTCCTGAAGACATCACCCCACCTTGCCTTTTCTCATGAGCTCTCGGGCCCTGTTGAAAGCAGTGGACTGGCGTTCGGAAGGAGATTTTACTGATATCAGAATGGGGGTAGATTTCAATCTGGAGAAGTGGGCGTTCCTAGGCAAACTATGTTTGCATTCAAACCTTCCAAGTTTAATCCCATGTGATCCTGAGCCTCCATGACTGAAAGAACTGAAATCCAGTAAATAAAAGCGGTCAGCCTGAACAGTAAAGCTGGGGAGAAAAGGACTAGATGGTGGATGTCCTCCAACTAGGAAATGAGGAGAGCTCTGACTAAGCAGTTTCAGCACAGGAGAAAACCCTGTACTGCTGTGCAAGACTGCAGGGTAAAGATGGCGTTCAGCTTGAAAAGAAAGGCAGCTCACAATTTTTTGCATTAAAAGAACATTCTCAGAAACTCTTCATCTTGGAAGGCATGGGGTTGTAGCAGAGTCTCTTCAAGAATATGGAAATATTTGAATGCCACGAGCTGGCCACAATTGTAGTTGCAGGCAAATGTGGTACTACATTTTAGTTCGAAACTCTTCTGTAATGCAGTTTTTAAATCAGATCTGCTTCCTGCTTTTTTTTTCTATTTCAAGAAGCCTCAAGAGTTTGTCACTTGTAGATGAGGGGAATTTACAGTAGTACTCAAAAGTTTGCATACTGTAGCAGAAATTGTGAAATTTTGACATTGATATAGAAAATATGACTGGTCATGGTAAAAAATTGTCTTATTGAAGGATGATGATCATATGAAGCCATTTATTATCAAATAGTTAAATAAACCATGAGTGCAGCGCTAAAAATGGAAGAACATGTTAAATAATACATATAAATATACTGATATAAAAGTGCTTGATAAATACTCCAATTAGTAATGTGACTCAGCGTGTTCACAAGTGACTACCAAGACTACACATACAGAACTGCATATAATAAAGTGCAAAAAACTTAAAGTCCACTCCTATAGTTTCCAAGTCACCGAGTCGTGACTAATCAACAGTGAGTATGAATATACCGTCCACAATATCCCAGTGGGTAAGGTGCATAAACGATCTAAAAAATCTCGGTAATATGGTGAAGGGTGATAGTGTATCCAAATTGGTAAAAGACTGCGCACTCACCAGATGCACACACAGTATGCGCATGTAAGAGATACCCCTCTTAAGGTTAAACAGGATTCCCTCTGGTGTGTGGTCTGGTCTGCTGCCGCTCTCTGCTCATTCAGCTGATCAGCATGGCTCTAACCATCTTATGCGTGGCTCTGTGGGTAGTGGGTGAGCATACCCCCTATGAATACGTGCAGTTTGCATGAAACGCATCAGAGAGGAGCTACAGTACAGAGGCGTCCCGGCACCAGTGGGCCCCGGCGACCATCTTGGATTTACTATCTTGTCAGTAGCTGTTTTTGTTATTTGCTTCTGCTTGTTGGATACAATAAATTTAAAATTTGAAACGGTATCATGCTATTTGGCCTACTCTTTTGGGGCTCTGTGAGAGCTTCCCACTACCCACAGAGCCACGCATAAGATGGTTAGAGCCATGCTGATCAGCTGAATGAGCAGAGAGTGGCAGTAGACCAGACCACACACCAGAGGGAATCCTGTTTAACCTTAAGAGGGGTATCTTTTACATGTGCATACTGTCTGCTCATCTTGTGAGTGCGCAGTCTTTTACCAATTTGGATACACTATCACCCTTCACCATATTACTGAGATTTTTTAGATCGTTTATGCACCTTACCCACTGGAATATTGTGGACGGTATATTCATACTCATTGTTGATTAGTCACGACGCAGTGACTTGGAAACTATAGGAGTGGACTTTAAGTTTTTTGCACTTTTATTATATGCAGTTCTGTATGTGTAGTCTTGGTAATCACTTGTGAACATGCTGAGTCACATTACTAATTGGAGTATTTATCAAGCACTTTTATATCAGTATGTTTATATGTATTTTTTAAAGTGTTCTTCCATTTTTAGTGCTGCACCCATGGCTTATTTAGTTATTTAAGGTTGTTTGATAGCCTTTTTGTGTTCAGCGGCTACAGCAACTTCCAAGCACTCACTTACTCAATACATGCATATTATCAAATAGTTGTTTGGCTCCTTTTTAAAACAGAATGATAACAGAAATCACCCAAATGGCCCTGATCAAAAGTTTACATACCCTGGAATGTTTGGCCTTGGTACAGACACGCAAGGTGACACACACGGGTAAAATGCCAATTAGAGGTTAATGTCCCACATCTGTGGCTTTTTAAATTGCAATTAGTGTCCGTGTATAAATAGTCAATGAGTTTGTTAGCTCTTACGTGGAAGCACTGACTAGGCTAGATACTGAGCCATGGGGATCAGAAAAGAACTGTCAAAAGTCCTGCGTAACAAGGTAATGGAACTTTATAAAGATGAAAAAGGACATAAAAAGATGTCTAAAGCCTTGAATATGCCAATCAGTACTGTTAAATCACCTATTAAGAAATGGACAGTATGGGGATCTCTTGATACCAAGCCAAGGTCAGGTAGACCAAGAAAGATTGCAGCCATAACTGACAGAAGAATTGTTTGGGATACAAAGGGAAACCCATAGGTAACCACAAAAAAAAATACAGGCTGCTCTGGAAAAAGACAGTGTGGTTGTTTTGAAAGAGCACAATATGATGACACTTGAACAAAAGTGAGCTGCTTGGTCGAGGTGCCAGAAAAGTGTCATTGACACCCAAAGGAGATGAGCTGAAAAGATTATTTTGAACAAATGGTGTAGCGCTGTAAGTACTAAAATACCATATTGTCAAATCATAATATTAAAATGAAAGAATACTAATAAACCTTGTGTATCCTTATTACCTTAATTAAAGGTGAAATACATTCCAAAGCAAATATAAAATCAAAGTGACCAATTATAAAACTGTGACATATATCAATTGATATAAATAAAAAAAAGTCCCAAGAAGTGAAGAAATTAGTCCCAACAAGTGAAAAAAAATAATTATAGCACGAAAAAATATATAATATAAAAATCCAAATTTTTCAATTCTTCAACGTTTATATTCCCATTTTTTGTTGCGTGCTCCTATTTATGGTGCCAATTATATCCATCACCTTCTAGTGTGTGCGCTCACCTCAAAGAGTCAAAGAGCAATCAATATCCCCGGATGATCTCTGGGTGTATTTCTCTCTTTAAGTGGACACCGGAACAGCTCCCACTGAAATCATATAAATGATCAAACATATCTTTAAGGGGTCTTCAAATGGCTCAAAAAGAAGTCGAAGATAGAACTACCGTAGTGTATTAATTAGATATTTGAAAAATTCAAAAAACTCCAAATGGCTACTCATATAAAAACAAGGGTCACAGACCCAGCAGGCATGTACTGTGTAACCCACAGTCAGGTATACATACAAGGAGTCCCAAGATGGAGATTACTGTCCAAATGTAATGACATCACATTTTTTTATGTGAGTAGCCATTTGGCTGTTTTTAATTTTTTAAAATAAATATCTAATTACTACACTATGGAAATTCTATCTTTGACTTCTTTTTGAGCCATCACATTCTGATGAAGCAAGAAAAGAGCATTAGGGTAGGAATATTATGTGTTGTTCGAGTTTGTGATCAAATTT